TTTTTATCTTTTTGTCTGAAACTTTTGTGACTTCTAGAAGGCTTTCCTATTCATTGTATTGTTGAAGGTTTCATGGCTGGAATAACTGGGTTGTTGCAGGTTTTTTCGGGCTATATGGCCATGGTCTAGAAGCATTCTCTCCTGATGTTTCACCTGCATTTATGGCTTCACAACCTCTGAGGATGCTTGCCATAGATGCAGGTGAAACATCAGGAGAGAATGCCTCTAGAACGTGGCCATATAGACCAAAAAACCTACAACAACCCACTTTCCTATTAGTGTTTTGGTGATCCTTTATGAGATACAATTGTCTGGTTGCCCCTGACCCGATAAGTGCAAAAAACACTTAAAAACAATGCAATAATTAATATGAAGAGCAATTTTAACAAATATAAACTTATTAGTATTTCATGGTGGCACATGAAAATGACAGTGATTCTCTGAATGTGCAGGTGTGGTCAATGTATGTCCTGCTTCCTGTCACAATAGGAGATTTTATGCCATACTTGTACTTTCTGTAAAACTAAAAGTGCAGAAAGGCTATTTTCTTTTGTACCTGGCCACATAAATTCTCAGATATGTTGTGGAAGTGCTTTCAAAGGGGTTTATGTCAAAACTAGAAGTTTATATTGTGTCTGAAAGGCATTGGGAAACCAGTACAGCTGTTGTGTGCCTTCAAATCCTTTCTGATTTATGGTGACCCTAAGACAAACTTTTCAGATGGTTTGGTTGGCAAGATTCATCATAGAGTTTTTTCCATTGCCTTCTTCAGAGGCAGAGAGAGTGTGATGTGCCCACAACCCCTGTGAGTTTCTGTGGTAGGGATTTGAACCCTGGTCTTCCAAATCCTAGCCCAGCATTCAAATAAGTGCACGCTGTACTACATATCAGTTATTTGAATATGTGTATGAAAGGCTCTTGCTAACCTCTTTTGCATTTCAAAATATGTATTTCTGCACTTAAGATTTAGACATGTGCTCATAAAGGAAGGTGTTTTTAATGTATTACAATTAACCTGTTGGTAGTTTTTATCCTAAAAGATAAAAATGTGAGATATGTTTAAGATCATTCTCAGCTAGTCGTATGTGTGTATGTCCCTTCAAGACCTTCAAAAAAGACATTCAGTCAAGCCATCAACAACATGGCAGGTAGTTACTAACAGCACATGCCACGGACGAAGGTCATTGCTGATTGGTTGGCTGATTTAAAGCCTACCCTTGCTGATTGCCTCTGAAACCATAGGTATGCCTGTATGGAATAATTTATTGTCATTATTGTTGTAATACAGTGAAAGTCCTAGTGTTAGCGAATTTAGTAGCATAAACATTGCCAAGCAAATATCCGCTCATCGCTTCATTAGAGGTCTATTCCATTAAAGAAAATACTCCGTACATCTGAGCTTATTTTCTTTTTGCTTTCATTACCACCAGGTGCTTGGCATACCTTGTTCTCATAGCTGTTAGCACACACACACATTAAACTATAGTGCCTGACCTTTCCCCCCAATGAAACTGTGTATAAACTGCAATCATTTCTTTGTTTAAGAAAAGCCAAGCTGCTGTACTGACTACAGACCAAGGCCCCATCTATACTGACCACTAAATCTGGGGACAGTCTGGAGCAGAAATGGATGAAAGCAGAGGGATCAGGAAGGGGCAGAGGGGAGGGGAAAGCAAAGTGATCCACAATCGTGGGAGAAGAGCAAGGGGAACACAAGGAACTATGGCAGCTGGTCTTACAGTAATGGATGTTTGAAACCATTGCAGGTCCTCCAACCCCTTCTACCCTGTTCCACTCCCTTCTCCCACCCCAGAGACCCACATACCACTTGTTCTACCTCCTCCTGCTTTCCCCATCCCATCCCTTCCTTCCACCTGAGTGAATGAGAAAAGGCATGTATGCACAGTTGGACCCTGCCAATGTCTAAAGATTTGACCGCTACTCAAGCCTCATTTCATTGAACATAGCTAGGAGCTGCGGTATCACAATGGGTTAAACATTTGTGCCAGCTGAACTGCTGACCTGAAGGTTGGTGGTTCGAATCCACGAGACAGGGTGAGCTCTCATATGTCAGCCCCAGCTTCTCATGTGGGGACATGAGGGAAGCCTCCCACAGGGTGGTTACACATCCAGGCATCCCCTGGGCAACATCCTTGCAGATGATCAATCCTCTCACAGCAGAAGTGACTTGGATATTCTCAATTTCCTTCTGACATGATTTTTAAAAAATGAATATAGCTCAGGCTGGTTTTACCGAAGTTCCTATTAAAAACATCAATGGGCAACTATGGAGACAGTGGTAATTAATCTATGAATAATCAAATCCATGAACATTTAATCCTCAAACGTAAAGAGACAACTGTATTTTATTCTTGTCTGTATATTTATGCCTGAATATAAATTCAAGTATATCTATGTAAATAATTCTCAGGCTCACTGTAAAAGGTTCTTGGGCATGTTTAAACCCATCAGAGCTGTTCAGGTTGTTAGTTTTCTATCTTTGAAAATCTTTCACTGATTAAGGATAACATATGGAAAGTCTTGCCAGTTAGAATGCATTTTAATCCCTTAAATTGGAATGCCAAGAGTCAAGAAAATAGGTAATTTTATCACAAGTCTGGGGAATATAAATTGTTGAGGCCACATTTCTCTTTTCAAAGGTACAAAAGTCTCTTTTAAAAGGTACAAAAGTTGCAAAATTGACTACTATTTTAGTTTTAGCACATATAATTGTGAATTAATGGTCTTCAAGAGCCTGCTCCATAATGAGCTTGTGACATTTTTTTTAATGAGTGGAAGCCTGAGTGTACTCAGCTGAATTTATCAGTGATCATGGTACAGATTCTCAGATTCTTACAGACACATGGTCTTGTCTGTATTTGCCCTATAACCTGGTTTTGGTCAGCCAGGAACTGTGCAGAGTAAAACTGGTTAACGTGGTTTTACCCAACATTAGGAGAAATCAGGGAATGGTCTGAACTTTGGATGAAGCTCTGGAATGTTCCTGCAGTTCAAGGTTGGTGTGAACAACTGGACTGGCTTTAGCTCAAACCAGTCAACTGTCAATATGGCCTGGTGTTGCCACCCCCCTTTCCCTGCACTCCATAGCACAGGGAAAAGGGGACGGATTGGAACTTTGTCATCTGTGTCTCTGAAGTGGCTGGCCATGGAGCTCCAGAAGGCTCATGTATGTTGCCAAACACATTTGTTGATATCAGCAAAGCTGCCTGCATGAAAGAACTTTCAACCCCCTTTCCCCCTGGTTGTTGATATCTCGGCCAGGGTGGTGGTAGTGGTGGTGGTGGTGGTAGCGGTAGCATGTCTGAACAGCTCAATGGAATCCAGAGCAGCTCAAGAGTTGAAATACTCTGGCCCAGCTCCAAATTTCAGTGTACATGTAAATGCACCCTCAGTGATGAATTATAGTTTTCTCTTGAATAGAACACCAATAAACAGTCCTTCTAGAATTAGGCATTGAGTTGTCTACAAACCAGTAGAACTCCATAGCTAGGTTAACCTAAATTTTGCAATAATAGAATCATAGAGTTGGAAGAGACCTCATGGGCCATCCAGTCCAACCCCCTGCCAAGAAGCAGGAATATTGCATTCAAAGCACCCCTGAGAGATGGCCACCCAGCCTCTGTTTAAAAGCCTCCAAAGAAGGAGCCTCCATCACACTCCGGGGCAGAGAGTTCCACTGCTGAACAGCTCTCAGAGTCAGGAAGTTCTTCCTCATGTTCAGATGGAATCTCTTTTCTTGTAGTTTGAAGCCATTATTCCGTGTCCTAGTCTCCAAGGAAGCAGAAAACAAGCTTGCTCCCTCCTCCCTGTGAGGTCCAGCTTTTCTATTCAGGTCCAGCTTTTCTATTTTGTTTTAGCAGAAACCTATCTATACCATGAAGTAGCTTAAAATTAATTTTAATCTTTATCCAAAACATTTTTTTTTAAAAAAAATCTGATTGAGTTCCTCCACCTGGACTTTTTTCTGACCTCAATGAGAATACCAGTGCATTGTGGGAATGTTCTGTGTCCACTGGATAAGTTTATCAGTGCAGAAACAAGGTTATTTCATAATTCCTAGAGTCAGAAAACCACATGGCCATGTGAGGTGAGAGATTTGTTTTGAGCAACACTTAGGACCTCATCACATTGATGTCCTCAAGGTGGGGCGGGGCATCATGGGCAACCATGGGGAAGCAGGGGAAACCATTGTCCCATGTCCTATATTGCCCACATTGCTGCCTTTCCCATCACACTGGGGAAAGCATAACCGCCTGACTTACCCCTGCCCTGTTCCCAGCTTACCTAATGAGAACATGGATAGCTCCGTCCTAGAAAGAATGCTTTCAAGATGGAGCCTTGCTGGAAGTAGCTCTGCATCATGTGATGGGCTTTGGCGGGCTCCATTTTGGACATGCCCAAGCCTCATGTGATGAGGTCCTTAGACTTATTTGAAAAATGAAACTAAGACAAATGCAAGACAGATGACTGTTTGGATAGTCAATTTTGCATATTAAAAATGTATGTAGAATGCAACAGACTTAGAGATGCTGTATCTCTTCAGATGAAATCTAAAATCTCCAACAAAATGCAATTCCTCCATCTTCCTGGGTGTGGGTTTAAAAAAGCAGTCTTCCAATCACCCCCTACCAAAAAAAAAATCCTTATCTTGAACTTCAATTTGTTTGACTAGTCAGACTTGCAAGGAAACTTGAGAATAAGCAGGGGGGAAAGTTGAGTTCAAAACCAGCTTGATGCTAAACTGTTTGCAGTGCCTTTTGCCATTGCTCTCTGTCTCTTACTTTGTGGCAGCTGATAAAGAAATGGAAATCTTCCTCATTCCTGCCAAAGCGAAGGCTGGGGGGAAAACTTCCCACTTTGGTATTCGCAGTACAGTTATGACAAATGCATGGTCTGTGTTCTGAGTGTTAAGGGAAATGTAAAAACATGTCTTGTTGTTGTGAATGCTCACATGGTGATTTGTTGGTTTGATTCTTCAGGTCGTGATTTGGCAAGCACAACCCTCCCTGGATACCCTCCGCACGTCCCCCCTGCTGGACAGGGCAGCTATTCTGCTCCAACGCTGACAGGGATGGTGCCTGGTGAGTTTTCATAGAAAAAAAAGAGAGAGAAAAGGCGAGAAAAGCAAACAGCAGCAGTCTTAGCAGCAAAGCCATATAGTTCTTTTATGCTCCCTTTTCATGCCAGCAGCAGACACAGAATTTTTAAAAAAAGAAGAGATGTAAAACAGGCAAACCAAACTATTGCATTTCTCTTTGTCTTTCTAATTTCACTCAAGTATCCTGAAACACTGCAGTAAAAGCAAACTGAGGCCTATTTGAAGTTAGTGTGGGACCTCCTAATTCCTCTTCCTTGGCTGCATTGGAATTGTGGAGTATGGATAGCAAGATAATTTATTCAGCCGAAATACATAGGAAAAGAAGTGTCTAGCCTTGCTGCATAGCTTTTGGATACACATGATATAATGTACATAAGGTTAATCTCAGAGTTACCTCGCTTCTCTGCATTTTTGTCATGTGAATCATTTTAATTAACTTAGCTATAAGCATTTCTCCCAATTGTGCCTGAAGAATCTCATACTTTGAAATTACGCTGCTTAATATGGGTGTCTGCGAATGATCTCATCCAATGCTTTTCACACATGAGATCTTAGTCATTAATGTCTCTAGTGAAATACCTAATGTTCCTTGATGTTCACCTTTGGTCTTTATCATATCTTCTTTAAAAGAAGTCAAGCATTTCCAGAGCCGTTTTTGTGAAGTAACAGCTTCTCAAGTTGGATGTGTCATTGGAAGCACCCTTTGACAGGAGCAGGGCTTCACATTTTTCTGAAGTTGGAGAGAAATGAGAAAGTTTTAAACATCTTTTAAAAAAGACTCTTGCCTTGTTTTATTGGAACTTAATAATATATATGCAGACTTCAATGCAATATTCCTGCTTCTTGGCAGGGGGTTGGACTGGATGGCCCATGAGGTCTCTTCCAACACTTTGATTCTATGATTCTATGATTCTATGACTTGGAACTGGGGGCACATATTACATACTTTGTGGTTAAGTCATGATTAATTGTTATCTCTTATTTAGAATGGTAGTTATATTTTATATTTAGGAAGAATGTAATTGATCACGAAGGGAGACTAATGCAATGTGGAAGAGGTATTCTACTTTCAGAAGCAGTGGAAATCTGTACAAGTGGATTACTGAGATTTTGGTATATTCATTTCTTGACTGTGTAACTCCACTTTGCTTTTTCTGAGTATTCTGGCAGGGAGGTTTGCCTTCTGTATAAACAAAAGTAATATCAGTCAGCCATGTAAATTTATCCATTTTATCTCTCTTACTACCATCTTTTTGTTCAGTTTATATGTGATTGACAATTCAATTACCGTATTGATTAATCCCCACATTCATATTTCTCAACATCATAAAAAAATCAATTAGTCTATTTGTTCCTAAATTAGAAATAAAATCTGTAAAAAACCCCAAAGATCTCTGCTAGATTGCCACTTAATTTTGTGCAATCCAAGTATATGTGTGAAGTGGCAATCTAGCAGAGATCTTTGAAGTGATACTTCAATTTAAAAGGCATGGTGGTAATTTTCTGAAAATTTTCCTGTCCCTCTTGTGCAGTGGTTCCCAACCTTTGGTCCATGGACCACCAGTGGTCTCTAAGAACTAAAATATGGTCCACAGCCTCACCATTACTACATCGTTGCAACGAGAGCGACTGATCTCGTGAAACCCTTTTATAGTGCCAAGACAACGGGGATGTTGGGAAAGGAGAGGCTGACTGCTCACAAAAGGGGTGACTACAAGCCTTCTGATTGCTTCTCCTCCTCCTCCCTCCCTCCCCCTGAGCAGAGTAGTTCCATGTGGCGCCTGGAAGCGAGGGCACCTTGTTTTTTTGTTTTTAGGCCTGTTCCTGTGGTTAATTGGGGTGCTGATTCAGAAAATTGCATTGGATAGACCACATCAGCTCTAGATTATTAAATACGGATTTCTGTGGGCGAGCGGATGGCGACTTTGTTGTTGTTAATTCATTTAGTCGTTTCCGACTCTTCGTGACCTCATGGACCAGCCCACGCCAGAGCTCCCTGTTGGCCATCACCACCCCCAGCTCCTTCAAGGTCAAGCCAGTCACTTTAAGGATACCATCCTTCCATCTTGCCCTTGGTCGGCCCCTCTTCCTTTTTCCTTCCTTTTTCCCCAGCATAATTGTCTTTTCTAAGCTTTCCTTTCTTCTCATGATGTGGCCAAAGTACTTCATCTTTGCCTCTATTATCCTTCCCTCCAATGAGCAGTCAGGCTTTATTTCCTGAAGTATGGACTGGTTGGATCTTCTGGTGGTCCAAGGCACTCTCAGAACTTTTCTCCAACACCTCAGTTCAAAAGCATCTATCTTCCTTTGCTCAGCCCTAAGGTCCAGCTCTCACATCCGCAGGTGACTACGGGGAATACCATTGCTTTAACTATGCTGATCTTCATTTCCAATGTTGTGTGATGGCAACTACTGGATGGCATATGTTGCGTATTAGAAACTAGAGCTGATGTGGTCTGTCCAATGCAATTTTCTGAATCAGCACCCCAAATAATCAAACAGAATCTAAAGTTGACTAAAAACTGATTTTTAACCCTTTTGGTACTAATGTTGGCAAGTCATCCCTGGCCAAAGTGCCCCCTGGTCAGAGTGACCCCTGGTCAAGTGTTCCCTGGTTGAAGTGGTTCCTGGTCAAAAAAAAGGTTGGGAACCACTGCTCTTGGGGTGCCTTCTCACAATTATTATACAAAACTCTAGCAAATGGGAAATAATTTAACACCTTTCCCTGCACATTCTCCTTGTTGACTGACTTTTTTTTTTTACTTTGAACAATTACTTTTCTGAAAGATGCTGTAAACCGTCTTTGCAATTCTCCCTTGGTTTTACATTTTTATTCCTCTAGCATTGTAAATTACTATTAAGTTGTCAAAAAGGGTTTTGTGGTTGGCCACTTACATGTGGAGCCCTGCAATAAGATGTAGCAATGTACTTGTTCCCCTGTGCAAGGTTTCAGCCACTCAGTTTAGGAAACATATTTGTGTGAGAAAGAGGAATGCTAGATGAAAAGCCTTAACTGATTTGACTAACCATTAATGAGTTTGAAAATCTAATCTGTTTATGTTAACACTGGATGAGGAGTTTTAAAAAATCATGTTACCAATAACATAATGCTAATTTTTGTTGTGTTAATTGGTAACATTAATCATTATGTCAGTCATTACTGTTAAATGTTTTAAAATAGATAGGATGGAAAAATGGAAACAGAGTACACTGTAATACTTTGGTTGACACTCTTGCCCAATATTGCTGGTCCCGTCAAAAGAAGTATTTAATGGAGTCAATGTTGTCAGCGCCAGTCTGACGTTGAGAAATCCCATGCATCTGGAAAGTACAAGTATGGGGAAGGCTATCCTGAAAGTATGGCATCTCAGAATGTGTGCAGTTAAGATCTGCCCAGAATCAACTGGATCTCTTCCCTTTCTTCCATCCTACCTACTCCAGGTAGCATGTTATTACATTGATTCTCTCTAAACTCTGTGGATTGATTAAAAAACATAACACAAAAGTTCGAAAAAGCCAACCTCAGTGCCTCTAAAAAGCACGGTAGCACAGCGGTTAAAGCCGCTAGGTGCCGGAAAGGCTGCTGACTGGAGGGTCAACAGTTCAAAACCACGACATGGGGTGAGCTCTTAACTGTCAGGCCTATCTTCTGCCAATCTAGCAGTTCAAAAGCATGCAATGCAAGTAGATCAATAGGTACCACCTCAGCAGGAAGGTAAAAGGGGGCCCCAGACAAACATGCTGGCGTGTAGACAAAAAAAATCAGAGATGTCTATGGACAGCAGGCTCCTTTGGCATCTAAAATAGAACAACAGCACCTCCCCATGACTGGAAGTTGAGCAATGCCTCCAGATGCCAGAGATAGAAAAAGAAGACCTTTACCTTATCTTTGTGTTGCATGTCATTGTTCAAGTAAAAAGGCATTGAATGTTTGCCTCATATGTGTTTTATAATCTACTCTGATTTCCTCTGGGGAGATAAAGTGGAATATAAATAAACTGTATTATTATTATTATTATTATTATTATTATTATTATTATACCACATTTCATCGCATAACAGTCACCATCACATAATAGTTGCACCTCACCTTTGGGGGTCCCGGTTTTGGTATTTTATGATTCTTTGCACAATTTATGATCCTTGCATAATTGTCGCATCCCCTGCCTGTGCACCAAGGGAAGCTCCTATAGCTCCGAGGGCAGGTACATGGGTGGGTGAGGGCATGAGAAGTACAGGGCTTCCCTTGGCCACCATCAGCTGAGAAAGTCCTCACAGCTGTCACGAGCATGTGCACGGATGGGATGGGTGGCTCTGCAGCTACAGGGCAGTGGCAAAAAATGTCCCTTCTGTAATAATCGCAACCCCACTCCTGGTTTTTAAACAAAAAAGAGACAAAAGTGAGGCTATTATGCGATGAAATATGGGTAAATGTATAAAGCAACTAGAAAAATTACTCATTACATTGGAACAAGAAATGTTAGTCTCCTTTGTTACATTCCTTTCAAAAAAATAATTCTGCAGACCAATTCATTATGTCTAACTGTGTTGCTTTAATTCTTTCCTCTGGAAAACATCTGCAATGGGATGTTTTTAAATTTTACCCTCTCTCCACTTTTGTTTTTTTGTTTCCTAAATATTTTTGAAATTAAGCAAATCTGTTTTCTGACTCTGCCGAAACTTCTCCTTGTGTGTAGATATATGCATGTAGGATTCTTCTCAATTCGGAGTTTTCTTTGCCTTGAGATAATATGCAGTAGTAGTCCAAAACAGAGCAGTATGTTTGGCAGTGAATTCCAGTTCAGGAGTTTATTGCCACGTTGTCTTTGTACACCTTTGAATATGATCTTTTTAAGGTTCTGACTATTAATGTCTAATTTCAGTCCATTTATTCTTTTCACCCATGCTCCCGATGTAAAGCAAAGGGTGCAATTTCAGATGATGGCATTGGTATAATCCATACCAAATAAAATTCAACACTAA